TCTCAAGCGTCTTGCCTGGGTTATGCCAGTTGGACCAGGAGATGCCGGATCTTCTGCTCTGGTGGCTATTTTTGCTGAGGTTTTTTGGTTTTTTGATTGTTGCTTTTAGTGATCAGCCTTAGAAATTTCACCCTGGAAACGGCAGCATCAGATGCCTCCAACTCTTGCCTTAGCTCCAGCAGAGGGGTGGATTTCAGTACAGCAGCACACAACATCACCAAAGAGACACACGAGTTCGCCCTCCAGACATCACTCAGTCAACTCGCCTTTCCCTAGCTCCCTCCCCCTTCTCGATTTCTTTTTCTTGGGGTGGCAGCTCCACACTAACCCCAAGCCAAAGCGATCATTTGCTGGCACCTTTCACCAACCGCCCCTAAACAAAACAAGACGATTAACACAGCCCCCGAATTCAATTAGACATCCAATATGCTAATGCAAGGTCTGAAACCCACCCCAGCAGAACAATAAAAATGGTATCAACCCACGTTTTCTTTGTGCGGGCAAGGAGAGGGAGAGACAAAAAAAAATCATCTCTCCTTTTTCCTGAACTGCAGTGGGGGGGAAAATCATTTCTACAGGAAAAAGGGGTTGGTTTCAACTAAAGCAAACCTATTATCTTTACATATGTTGTGTTTAGAGAACAACGATTGGGGTTCTTTCTTCTTCCCCCCCCCCCCCCCCCCCCCCCTAACTCTGCTGCCAGCAGCAGCGTGCGTGCTGTCAGTTCCTGTCCATTTCACCTCAGGTCACTAAATGACTTGAAAAAAGAAAAACGAAGGTGGAAGAAACAAGGTGGGGGAATAATAATTTCCAGTCCCTGTGATCACCCTTGTTTCACCTCTTCTGCCTCAACAACCCACCTTTGTGAGTGATTCTATATGCCAGGACCCTCATGCAAAGGCAATTTGTTATCCCAAGCCTGCTCTCAGAGTGCAGTTCACCCCAGCCCACCTCAGCATTTTGCCTCACTATTTTTTGAACACACACACAAGATGTAACCCTTACATGCTATTGTCTTCAGAACCATATCCTGTAATAAACAAAACAAACAGCAACTGAGGGAAACAATTGAGAGAAAATCACCAATTCTTCAAGCCACTAAAGCTGTCTGTTAGCTTTCCTTCACAAATTGTGTCTTTCGGAGAGCCACAGGCTAAATCAACATCCATTTTGAAAAATATAGTTACATATTCTAAATTCTGAAGCATTATCTTGTGGATAACTTAACCAATTTATTTTATTAGCTTTCCTGTCTCTTATCTTATTGTGACACATAGTTAAGGCCAAATGAAATGCATTTATCTGTGCCGATTAAATATTAAAGAATGATAGCTTAAGAGAAATTGACATGTTTTAAAACAAAAGGATGGCATTATTCATCCTGAGAATAAGATTTAATATATTGAATTCATCCTATGCTGAAAAGCACTGGAAGCACAATACATGGTTAGCACTAAATCCTTGCAGATGGCGTCCGATGTGCAGAGTTAGACAAGTTCTAATTATAAAAGGTAGACAACCACAGAGACCAGTTTAATTTAAAACAAAACATCTGTTACTATCATAATTATATTTAAATTAGTATAAATCATGGGCAGTGCACCAGGTTTAGAGGGGCTCATTCTGTTCTTCAAGTCACTCGCGCACATACAAAATTCCAGTCGTACATTAGCTGAGCAGTTCACTGTTGTACTGTATCACTAGGTATTACAGGTACACTACATATTTTGCAAAATTTCTTGAATACTGTTGAAGATTTTACTGGAATTTCCCAAAACACTCTGCAATGAAGAAAGTGCTCTAACTGAATTTAACAATAAGACATCCATTGACAGGGCAGGAGCAGAGTCAGTCTAATGCGGACACTTTTTACATTTCATTGTTCTTCTTTTTTTCAGTGATACACTTCAACTTCTTGCCTAGCAGCATTGTATTTGAATATGTAACAGATGAAAATTCAGCGATTAAATGTGGTCCATCTCTCTTTTCTAGCCAATGCAGTTAAAAAAAAAAAAGCCTCATTAATAAATATATTTGTAGCCTGTTGAAATGATGGCTGACAGAAGCTGTGGAGAACATTATACTAAGTCCATGAAGGAGACAGAATAATGAGCAGAATATGGAAGAAATGTGTAACTGCAATTTGTTGCACGATGCAGAACAGTAAATGTATGATTACTAACTCACTTGGAGACGCTGGACATTTTAACTTGCCAACATAAAATCAGTATTTAGTTTTAGGTATAAAGCAAATAAGGATTGGAAACATGGAGTTAAAACAGTTGTATTATATTTAGTACACCTCAATGCTACACTTTTTATGAAGTCCTCCATCTATGATCTGTCTCTCTTATAATGTAACTTTTCTGGGCCAGTCAGAATCTATCCCGTATTTGGAAGTTTCATTCCTTTTTGGTGTGATTTTCTTTAGCTATGTGTCTAAAGTTTAGGGTTATCATATGATATGCAAGAGGGCACCTATTATTCCTGTGGATCTTTCTTATTATGCAGAACGCTGTAAAGGAGTGACAGGTACTATTAACACACGTTCTATTTATGTCAAGGAAAATTATCAAATTGAAAATGCGTAGCAAATATAGATGTAGGTTCATGCCCATTATTGGCAATTTTGTACTGTTCCACTGAGCTACAGATGATTTAATCAACCTGGCAGAATTCCCATGATATAAGCAAAGGAATTCCCAAGAAGCATAGATTCACCGTTGCAGATCCTGTGTCATCCTGCAGCTGAGGCAGGGGAAAAGCAGGGGAAGTAGGGAAGGAGGGGAAAAAGATTAAGTAGGATGTAATTTGGTCCCAGGGATCTATGGCTAATATGGCACAAGCACCAAAACCCCCTCAGCTCCAACACTTGCCTATGAGTGTGCCTTTCTCAGGGTAGTCTTACAGTTAGAAGAATGCTGGAGTGTGGTTTCAAAACCCTTTCAGAGTGTAATGTAAACTTCTTAGTAGTTCTAATCAAGAACTGGGAATGTACTGTGCAATGCAAGTGATGGCCAAATGAGGTACAGAAAAGTATTTTAATTGTGTTTGATATAGCAGAAATAATGTGATTTTTACTCTTTAATAATGTATTATGCAATATTGCACGATATAAAAGTGATGATCACTACTGAAAACAACGATATGACTGTCTCACATATTAAAGTTGAAATGTAGTTTATAGGATAGGAACATTTCTGTAGAATAAAAGATTCATTCACAGACACAACTGCCAATCTGACATGGACTGATGATCAAGCCACATTTGATATGCCAGCAACTGTGTTTCCCTTAGTTTACAGTATTTTTCTTGGTCTCATGACATGCTTTACCACTTACTGTTGACACTTTTTGTTAAAATGAATAATACACATATTATTAATTGTATCATTTTGTCTACTTTAACATAGTGATGAATAAAAATCAGGTATGACACCGCTGTCAAAACCACCCACTTAGTAAAGGACTTCACCTCATAATGTACACTGTCTACCTTACTAGTTTATTTTGAAGATTTTTTCAAATATCTTTTTTTCTGGAGGGAAATGCTGTGAGACAGAGAAAAAGGAAGTTAGCAATACTGTCAACTAGAGATCCAAGTAGATGCCTGGGTTTTGATCGTCATGATGAAGAGTTAACATCTTGGCTATATACGTATGATGGTAGCTTACTTTGGTAATTTCTTTAATGATTGATAGCTGTGCTTAAAGTAGAATGAGAAACCTTTTTGAACATTAAGTTACATTACAGCTTCTTGCTGTAATTGAAGGATTTAATAACAACTTTGTAGAAAGCAAACTACACAGAAGTTAGGAAATTGTAATACTATTGCTCCTCTGATAATTTTAATTCTCCCCACTTCTTGTGTGTGTACATTATTATATATTTTTTTCTCTTCAGATAGGTGCTGTTTTTCCTTTAGGACAGACTTTTGTATTCCAACTCTGTTCTCAGTAAATAATGACATATAATGATGAGAAGCATGGGGAAAATGCAGACATAAGAATTTTTTAGCCTAGCAAAAGATAGGAAATAAGCTCATGGCCCTTATAAGTAGTGGATTATGTACATCATTGTCCCTGTTCAGATGTGCTGGCTGGCACATTACTGAAGTCTTTCCAACACCTGCTTACTTCTTTACACCTGGACCTAAAATCCCAAGGAAGCCATAGGCTAGGCTCAACTGCAGGAGTCTCCTTTCAGTTGTGCATGTCGGTATGTCTGAGACATGACTGAAATCTTAGTATGCATAATTTCCACTGTGATCAATCTTATCCCTACCAGTACTATATGGCAGCATCTGGTTTATCTCCACAGTTATTCCTAAAGTAAAAAAAAAAAAAAAGGAAAGAAAGAAAAAGGAAAAAAAAAAACCCTACCAAGAAAAGGTGGATGAAACCACACTTTTCTTAATAAAGTTGCACATAAAACTATAGATTAACAAAGTACTGTTTACCCTGAAATTGTTAATATGATTAACATTATGTCATTATGTCTTGGGGCTTTTTTTCCCCCTCACACAATTTAGAAAAACTAATTCATGAAGCCAAGGAAA